CCCTCCCTCACCAGACCCCAGCTCCGCTCCGGGGATCGAAGGGAGCTCAGCCCTCTGCCCTCCCCGCTCCAGTCACGAGGCACCAGGCTGGACTCAGCATCGGCCCTGACCTAGCGCAGACACGGGCAGCTCGCCCATCGCTGAGCTGCCAGCCGGCTACGGGGGCCTCCTTCCCCTGGGCAGCCCCTTGCCCCCTAGCCCTGGGCACTCAGCCCCCCCTCGGCTGGGCAGGGGCCTCAGAGACCAGCCTGCTTCCCTCCCTGTCCTGAGCCCTCCTGGCTCCGGCTGCAGGCCCCTCCCCAAGCCAGGACGCTCCCGACAGACCATTAATCCCTTCAGAGCTAGGCCTGCCACACAGCGCTAGACTACGCACCCGGGCCCATGGCAGTGGGGCAGAGGGTGGGAAGGAACGTGGGGGTCTCTGGAGAGCCAGATGCTCCGTCGCAGCTTTCCTACCCCCCACCTCATCTAAAAGCAGCGCTGGCTACACCGCCCCGTCCCCTGGCCCGCGTCTTGCTCACCAAGATGGCTGCCAGGCCCGATCCGAAAGGGGTCGCAATCCGGAGCGGGGGCAGGCGGGACGTTCTTCTCGGGCTTGGGCTCCTTTTCGGGGTCGCCCTTCTCCTTGGGAGCCCCCAAGGGAGAGATGATGCCGGTGACAATCCTGGTCTGCAGCTCCTCGACGTTCTTGTACACCCTGCGGGGCGAGAGGGAGCGTCCGGGCTGACGGGGCCCCCCCCAGGGCCCTAAGGCCACGGGGCGATGGGCTCCCAATGGGGGACACACGCAGCACAAGCGCCCTCTCCAACTCCCCAGCAGTGGGCAGGGTCGGCCCGCGGCCCCGGCCAGACTGTCCGAGCGGGAGGGACCTCTGTGGATTTGGGCGTGTTTCTCCTTTGGCATTGCTGGCCGGCGTCCAAGCTAGGGTTCCCTTATCTGTGACCGGCGGGCCAGCCGGCAGCCCCAGCGGGGCTCTGCTAAAGGGGAAGTGACAAACGCTGGAACAGAACCACTGCCAGACACCCGGCACTGGCCTGTGCGGACGTGTCGGCCGAGACGCAGCCTGGGAAGCAGGGAGCAGCGGGGCAAGTCTCCGCTTTGCAGGAGAGTGGACAGAGGCAGGAGGGAATTGCAGAACTTGGAAGCAGAGAAAATAAATCCCTGTTGGATAGTCCCCGCCCCCCCGCAGCTGGGGCGGCGTTGCTCCCTGCACCTCATGCTGGGTGCTTGGTGAACTCTAGGGTCGGATGTCCTAAGCCCCAGAGCACCCACAACCACCCTCCAGTGACCATTCCAGTGCTACAATCGCCCACGGGTACAGGAGCAGGGTTGCATGCATGGGCGGCCGGTGCGTAAGGCAGGAGGAGGCGTTGCCTTTCCAAACCACCAGCCTGGCCCCGCCCACACTCCATCCCCAGAACCCCTGCTACTGGGGGCGAAGTGTTGCTGCCCCGCAAGCACCCGCACTCCCCATGCTCTGAGCTCCCCCCCCCCCCCCATAATGGGGGCATGGCCTAGGCAGAAGGGGCGGGGCTGGGGGCTTGTCTTCCCCAGCCCGACCTTCACCCATCACCCATGGCTGCATGCAAACCTCCCCGAAGTACCACCACTTCCCCCAAGCCCAGTCAATGGCCGAGGTCTGTACCGCGGGGTCTGTGTTGGATTCAGGCTGTCGGCTCCTTGGAGACAGGGGCTCTGCTTTCACGCAGGGAAATGAAGTTGCAGAGCCAGCCAGAGGCTCAGCTGGGATTAGGACGCCCAAAGCAGTGACTCCCATCCCGGGCCTAAGCCAGAGGCCTCGTGGCCTAGCTCCCTCTTTTCTCCCAGCCTCCTGGGGTGCACCAGGGCTTGGGGAAAGGGGAGAACAGGGAGGGGCATTTAAGTTTTTTCTGCAAACAGCCTCTCACGTTCCTCTTCCCCCTTGTTTGTTTCACTGCCCCGCCCCTTCCTCTGCCTGCCTGCCCGCCTCCCCTCCTGGGCTTGTGTGGGGCATCACCGCGACAGGCCGGTACCTGTGGAAATCCTCCAAGTGCTCCGGGTCGATGTAATCCGCCACGCTCAAGGTCAAATCCGCCACCTGCTTGGAGCTGCAATCCTGGGGAAGGACACACGACATGCTGCCTCAGCAGCCACGCACGCAGGGGAGGGGGCGCAGACAACAGCAGAACAGGCGAGTGTGCATGCAGGGGAGGAGGAGGGATCTAACGCAGGGGCCCTCACGGGAGTTTGTGGCTTCTCCGGCGCTCGTCAATGCAGGATCCACGTGTCTGGATTCTCAGCTGCCCCAGTGCAACCCGCTCTGCCTGTCTGGGCTGCCAAGGGCTAGCCAGGCGCTGCGCTGACCCAGCAGAAGAGGAGCTGGTACCAAGCAGACGGGG